CAGTGGCAGGACCTCTTGGCTCACTGCACTTCTGCTCCCCCGCGTTCAACAGTGAGTTCTCCTGCCTCAGCCTCCTGGTACTGGGACCTACGCGTGTGCACCACACACAGCCCGGCTAATTTTTAATGTTTTTCAGTAGACACGGGATTTCACCATGCCATGTTGGCCAGGCTGGTCTCGAACTCCTGACCTCAGGTGATCCACCTGTATTGGCCTCCCAAAGTGCTGGGATTATAGGCGTGAGCCACCGCGCCCAGCCATAACTCCACTGTAGTTAACAGTTTAGGGACATTACTATATGCAAGTTTCTCCTAGGCTCCTAGTCTACACAGCAGCCTGGGTCAATAAAGAGTCCACAACACTGAAATGTGTACGTAAATACTATGAGCTAATTATTTACAAAGTGCTATGGATATGCTTCGAAAGAGTAGAGTAACTCAGACTGGGTAGAGGCAGGATGGAATGGTTGAGAGTGACTTCTCGCTGGAGCCATTTGAGATGGGCCCAGAAGCCAGTGTAGCCAATGAGAGCCTGAGTAAGCAGAGACACAGGAGCAAACCAGAGAAAAGGAAGCTGTCTGGTCTGGAGTGAAGGATGGATGATGGAGAGGGAGCAAATGACGATGAGGCTGCAAAGGTAGTGTGGGGCCTTGAAGGTCTTGGAAGGCTCTGGACTTCACCCTTGAGCCGGACAATAACCATTAATGGTTTTTGAGCAGGAGAGTGTAGGGATTCATGAAGAGACTGTTACAATCATTAAGACAGCACAAGGGGGAAACATGCCTTAGAGGCAGCAAGGGGCTGGGGTGGTGGCTCACACCCTCAATCCTGTAATCACACCTGTGATTTAAGGTTAGCCTCTAGGGCTTACAACAGAGGGAATAATAGGCAGGGGAACAAAGTCACCCTGGAAGTGATGGGAGGGAACTAAAAACCAGGCAGCCTTTTACACACTGGGCTGTGGGCTCAGAACCTCATAGCTGAGTCTTGGAAGCGGTGAGGCCCCAGGAAAGAATATTGAAGGTGAGAAGCCAGAACAAAACACCTCAAGTAGATGGCTACATTAAGAGGGAGGCAGAAGTCGGGTGCCTGGTGAGGGGCACTCCACACCTGAGGCGGCTTTAGAACCCTGGCAGCACTTGTCACAGTGCGTCTCCCTCCCCACCCCTGCCTGGCCCTCCTGCTGCCGTGTGGCTCCACCTCCTCCCTGCAGCCTCCACTCCTTCCTCTTGCCCACCCCCGACCCCACCCCGGAGCAGCTGCTCTCCCACTCGGTATTGTCTGGCTCTGTCCATCTGACTCCAGGGTCCAGGAAAGGGTGGAGGCTGCGCCTGCTTTGTTTCTCTAGCAGTCAACAGACAAATGCACGTGATGACGCATAGTAAGGAGAGACACTGTAAAGGGCAGGTGGCTGATTTAATCTTACCTAAGTGTATTTATTTAGATTTTTTCCACTTTTACTGAGGTATGATTGACATCTGATTTTAAATTATGAGTCTTAAAAGGAACCTTTGTCTGTAACAATTAGGAAGCCTTTGGTAGCCTTTGAAAGTAGTTTGGGTACAATGGTGAGGCAGACGCTGGATGGAAATAGGCCGAGATGTGGATGGAGGTCGGGAAGGAGAGGGGAGAAGGATTCCATGTTTGCGGGGAGTTTGGTAGTGAGGGAGGAGGGGGCTGCTTCAGTAGGTTGTAGTTATATTTTCTTTTTAGCTATAAAAACAACATGATTTTAAGCTGTGAGAAGGGAGAGTGAAGATACCTTTGAGAGAAAAACAGATGGGGGAACAAAGTCTCCCTGGAAGGGAAAGGCTGGAACTGAGAACCAGATACGAGTCCTTGCTATGGGCCCAGAGTGGGAGCAGAACAGACATCGGGACTTGGAGCTTGGATCAGAGAGACAGACATCAGGAACCAGCACACTCACCCGCACCTTGGCAACAGCAACAAGGTGCTTATGGGATCTTGGTTTCTCTGGTCCAGGTGGAATATACCTCTATAGCTGTGATCTTTAATTTAATGGTTGGTCTTACCTCATAAATCTGTATCCAAAGGGGTGGTTCCACCATTTGAAAAAGAATAGGACCAAATAACCAGAAGCGCTGGTTGAGAATGCTTCCCAGAGAGCAGAAAACACAGTTGTGGGCAACATGTCTCTAAGCAACACAATAAAATGCTTCTGTGAAGTGGGTACTAAAGAAGTGACAAGAGTTACTAATTAATTCAAACCTAGCTTAGCTCCTGCTCCATGAAATGTATCCTGCTTGTGTATTGGCTTTAAGGAATAGCTTCAATATTTATTCTGTCTGATTATATAAATAATGTATATATGCTCAGCATGGAAATTTTGGAAAATAATAAGGCATGACGAAGAAAATGTAAATGGTCCATGGTTCCATCAATCAGTTATAGCCATTACTAGTATTTTCTGTATTTCTTCTCCTCTTTTGTTTGTACAATTGATCATACTACAGATAGTTTTATTAGTTTGTTGTCCGGGCTGAAGTGCAGTGGTGCCATGGTAGCTCACTGCAGTCTTGAGCTCCTGGGTTCAAGTGATCCTCCTAACTCATCCTCCCAAGTAGCTGGGACCACAGGCACACACCCCCACACGTGGCTAATTTATTTATATATATTTTTTTGTAGAGATGGGGTCTTGCTCTGTTGCCCGGGTTGGTCTTGAACTCCTCTGCTCAAGTGATCCTCCCACCTTGGCCTCCCAAAGTGCTGGAGTTATAGGCGTGAGCCACTGCACCCACCCTAAAAATACAATTTTTAGCCTGTTTTTTAACTGTATATTATGAGCATTTTCCCCTGTCACTAAATAATCTTTGAAAGCCGCACTGTCGCCGGGCGCGGTGGCTCAAGCCTGTAATCCCAGCACTTTGGGAGGCCGAGACGGGCGGATCACGAGGTCAGGAGATCGAGATCATCCTGGCAAACACAATGAAACCCTGTCTTTTGTATTTTTAGTAGAGATGGGTTTCACCAATGTTGCCCGGGCTGGCCTCAAACTCCTGACCTCGAGGTGAGTCCTCCCACTTGGACTCCCAAAATGCTGGGATTACAGGTGTGA